TCGGTCCACCCCTTCTGGTAACTCCCCCGCAAAAGGGTCAAAATTTTGAATACCAATGAAGCTCATAAAACGCGAAATTAAAATTCGATTCCATTCAGACTTGACACATCTAAATATTCCCATCAACACAAGATCTGTTATAAATATAAATATCGAACCATTCCTTTTGGTACGTTCCCCACAAAGGGTCAAAGTTTTGAATAACCAAAAACGATTATAAAATCCCAAATAAGCATCCGATTCTCTTTATATTTTACACATTTCATTATTTCTACTAGCACAAGATCTGCTGTGAAGATGGTAGAGATCGGACCATTCCTTCTGGTACCTCCCCCACAAAAGATGAAAATTTTGAATATCCATGAAGCTCATAAAAAGCGAAATTGACTTCCGATTCCATTCCAGACATGGTACATCTCAATATTTCCATCAACACATTATCTGTTATAAAGATGGTAGAGATCGGATCATTTCTTCTAGTACCTTCCCCACAAAGAATCAACATTTTGAATATCAAAAAAGATTATAAAATCCGTAATAAGCATCTAGTTCTATTTATATTTCACACACCCTATTATTTCTGCTAACACAAGATCTGCTGTGAAGATGGGATATATCGACCCAATCCTTCTGGTACGTCCCTCACAAAGTGTCACAATTTTGAATATCCACATGGCTCATAAAACGCGAAATTGACACTCGAATCCATTCAGATTTGGTGTATCTGAATATTTTCATCAACACAAGATCTCTTTTAAAGATGGTAGAGATCGAATCATTTCTTCTGGTACCTCCACCACATTTTGAAAAAGATTTTGAAAAACCAAACGCTCAAAGAAAGCGAAATTTGCAGCCAAAACTATTCAAACTTCCCAAATACAAACATTTTTGCTAAGACAAGATGTGTTGTGAAGATGATATACATCAGAGAACCTTCTCTTATACCACACACATAATAATATAACAGATCTTTAAAAAAAGAGATATTTTATAAAAGGACAATCTTTTCAGCACTCAGCCCCAAAGAACTGTGAAATATACCCCTTGAAAAAAAAATTGAAACATTTTTAAAACTTCAAAAAATATTTTTTCTTCCATTCTTCTAAAAATAATTGTATTTTGAAAAAAAATCGAAAACTGTTCCTTTATACTTCAATTGTGTGTCAACCATCGGTCGAGAGGCACATTTCGCCATACAACATGAAACACATGGCTACATGATGCACATGGCATATGCATATCCATTTCCCTATGCCTCCCATGGCCTGCCTATGAGCTGTTCTAATATAGCAGCCAGCGGCATATTGATGCCTGCCTATTTGCCGTGGCTTTGCTATTTGTTTTCTTGTGTTTTTTGTTGTTTTTTTCAAAATTCATTTTTTTGTTTGTTTGGCTACCTACTCAACGTGGCGAATCGTCTCGCATAGGCGGTGGAGCGAGCATAAGTAGCAAAACGTTGGATTATAGTGTTTAACAAAATGTGCAATTTATTATTAAACATATTTGCATTGAAGTATCCCCAGGCGGGGCTGTTTTTGTGTTTTTTTGTCATGTGCTCATGTGGCGATGACGCGGCCAACAGAAAATAAAAATGGGAAACAAAAATTTAAAAAGAAAAAAATTAGGTGAAACCCTTCACCAATATGAGATTTTGTGTTTTTTTTTTGTGTGGCAAAATGTTTGAAAATTTCGGGCATCATGAGGATGACGATAATGATCAATGTGGTAGCTTTGGTTATCATAATGTGTGGTGAGGTATAAAAAGATTTCTTATTATTTTATGCTCTAAAGGGAAACAACAACAAAGACAATTTAAAAAAAAAATGCTTTTAATTACAAGACCAACATGAGAACATCAAAAAAGTCTATCATAATAATGGGAAGCATTAAGTTTTGCAGGCTTCATATGATGCTGAATGTGGCCAAAATCAAAAATAGAAATAGGAACTTGGAAGAAAATGCACAAACCAATTTTATGTCAAATTTTCTAGGCAAAATATACCCTCTGAATTCTTTCATACATGAAATTTCTTCTCGCATCATCTCAAGACGTCTCCCATAGAGAGAACATCTTCTACATGATTTCCACATAAAGAAGTCCTTCTACAGAATCTCTTATGATAGGAAGCCTTGCTAGGATTTTGCTGGTTTTCTAAAGAGATCTTAATAGATAGATGAACTTTTAGAGGACTTTTATAGAAGTCCTGCAAGTCTTCAAAAGATCTTCGACAGAAAAAAAACATTTTAAGGGACCTCCATACACAGAAGTTGCACAAATGGCCTTCTAGATATCTCATTTCTTCAAAAAGATACAGCATACTTTCCACAGGACTTCTGCAGACAGAGGTTCGCCTAAAAGTTGGTTTGTTAGGAGTTATGAAGAAAATCTGGTCCTTTTGACGGAATAATGAGTTAAGTTTTCAATCTGTCTGGAGCGTTTTTTTAATATGCCTTCATAATTTCCAGTATTTTACAAACATACTCACCCTACTTTACTTACGACTTTTCTAAAGATTACCATATTAGTGGCGCCCAACGTTGCGTCAGAAAATTTTAAAATATTTATATATTTTTATTTCTATAGAAAAACAAATTGATTTTTATAGGTCTTCTATCTATCTATCTATCTTCTATCTTTGCTTAGACGACAGTTGTAAAGAACATTTTCCGGAACAACTCTAGTTTAGTAAACACTCTTCGATTTCTTTTTCGCATTTTTACCAGAGGTAGGTCTTTTTACCCTGATTCCGGAAAAGTATTTTTTTCTAGTGGGCGGACCCGGGACCCCAGATTTTCGACCCGAAAGACCGGGTTCAAGACTCAGTCTAGACTCATATCCACTTACCCAATATAGGTATCGTTTGAAAAAAAATACCTATGCAACAAGATGCCACATGATCAGGTTACTTATAAGCGGTTCGGAAGTTTTAGTCAAATTGTTTGAACCCGGATTTTTTATAAAACCCCCCAAAAGTCGAAAGAAATTGATGCCAATTGTAGCTGACAATCTTACTGTTCCAAAATGCTACAATCTGTGCTAATACCTTTTCTGGGTCCAGAGATATGAGTCTTTCCACCCACATAACCCGATTCTAACAGGTCAAGTCCCCCAAGAAAAAAATAGTTTCCCAGAATCAGGGTAAAAATACATACCATTGGAAAAAAATTCGAAAAAATGGAAGACTTCTTACTAAACAAGAGTTAAGCGCATTTTCCAAAGGTCCTCCATTGATAAATGAGATTCCAGAGGTCTTCTGTAGGAGAAAGGGATTTCCCTTGTTAAAACATAAGCCCATATTGAGTTGTGTCTAATAAATCCCCCTAGTGAACAGTTTGTCAAGAGAGGAGTTTTAGAAGATTTTCGGAAGGCCTGCTATCTATAAAAGAGCTACAGAAGCTCTTCTAGCCATAGAAGAGCTTTAGAAAGTCTCTTTTCCTCAGAAGAGCTTCAGAAAGTCTTATTTTCATAGAAGAGCTTCAGAGGCTCTTCTAGCCATAGAAGAGCTTCAGAGGCTCTTCTAGCCGTAGAAGATCTTCAGAGGATCTTCTAGCCATAGAAGAGCTTTAGAGGCTCTTCCCGCCATAGAAGAGCTTCAGAACGTCTTCTAGCCACAGTATGACTTGAGAGACTCTTCTAGCCATAGAAGAGCTTCAGAAGGTCTTCTGGCCACAGTATGACTTCAGAGACTCTTTTAGCCATAGAAAAGCTTCAGAGGCTCTTCTAGCCATAAAAGAGGCTCAGGGGCTCTTCTAGCCGTAGAAGAACTTCAGAGGATCTTCTAGCAATAGAGGAGCTTCAGAGGCTCTTCCCGCCATAGAAGAGCTTCAGAAGGTCTTCTAGCCACAGTATGACTTGAGAGACTCTTCTAGCCATAGAAGAGCTTCAGAAGGTCTTCTGGCCACAGTATGACTTCAGAGACTCTTCTAGCCATAGAAAAGCTTCAGAGGCTCTTCTAGCCATAAAAGAGGCTCAGGGGCTCTTCTAGCCGTAGAAGAACTTCAGAAGGTCTTCTAGCCATAGAAGAGCTATTGATGGTCTTCTAGCCATAGAAGGGCTTCAGAGGCTCTTCTAGCCATAGAAGAGCTTCAGAAGGTCTTCTAGCCATAGAAGAGCTTCAGAAGGTCTTCTAGCCACAGAAAGACTTCGGAGACTCTTCTAACCATAGAAAAGCTTCAGAGGCTCTTCTAGCCAAAAAAGAGCTTCAGAAGGTCTTCTAGCCATTGAAGTGCTTAAGAAGGTCTTCTTGCCAAAGAAGAGAAGAGGCTCTTCTAGCCACATAAGAGATTCAGGAGGTCTTTTAGCCATCGAAGAGCTTCAGAGGCTCTTCTAGCCATAGAAGAGCTTCAGAAGGTATTCTAGCCATAGAAAAGCTTCAGAAGGTCTTCTAGCCATAAAAGAGGTACAGAAGGTATTTTATCCACAAAACGCCACAGAAGTTCCTTTATCCATTTGAGAAGTCTCCTGATGGACCTTCTTACACTGTAATACTTTGATGTGGCATAATAGTACTATGATGCTGCTGCATCTCATCCAAATGTTGCATGCGACGCTGCAAATGTTTAAGGTGTTTCACGGTCTATATACTAGATGTAGTTATTGTTGTTGCCTCGGAGGCCGTGGCTGATGTGGCTAACACAAAACAGCCGAAAAGCAACAAAAAATATTTTTATAGTTTTTGGTGTTTATTTGTAGTTCTTTACACCTTTTTTTCTAGCCAATGCGGTTGCTGTTGTTGTTGCTATTTTTTTTTTGCTAGCCACTCAAACGACACATCTTTTCATATTCATTCAAATTTGTTGTTGATTTTTGTGCGATTCTTTTTTTGGTTGTTGTTGGGTTTTGTGAATTTGGCGAAATTTTTGCGGTGGATGGATGCTGCGGCTGCTGAGGATGATGATGACGACGACGACGGTGGTGATGGAGATGTTGATGAACGGCACATAAGACAGGGGAGGATTCTCTGCAGCCGAGGAAAAAAGTTTTAAGCCTTTAGATTTTGTAATTGATTTAGTTCTTCTAAATCATTTCTCAGCGTAACAACAACTGTGCACCCACCAGCGCACCACACACAACACCGCAATCTTGGGCTTAGCAGGCGATAACGGCCACCAACGCAAGACGAAAAAACCCAGACAAAAGAAAGGCGAGCGTTGTCGAGCGAAAGAAAAGAGAGTTGCACAAACCGAACGCGTCTTGATCGCAGAGCAAACGCGTAAAAATCGTTAAATCGAAGTTACAGTTTTCGCAAAACTTCTCTAAAAAAACACAACAACAAAAATGGTTAGTGTTAATTTTAAGTTTTCGGCTTGTGAGAAATTCAAAATCGAATTGTCCTTTAAAATTCCTGAAAAAAAATATTTTGTGTGTATATTTATTTGTCTGAGATATTTTCAAATTTTATGGCTCATAATATGGCCATCATCAGCCACAGCCATAATCCCAGCCATTATTTGCTGTCATCCACACTTGGCCGCTGTAATTCTATGGCCAATATAAATCATAGAAAAAATTCCAAATCAAGTGAAATTTATGATCCCATTAACCCAACACAAACTATTTTTAATTGGTCTGCCATAATCGCTGTGTGAGTGTGTGTGTTTCTGGGGCTACTGAATATTCCGGATGCCATGCATACCTGGCTATTGATCATAAATATTGTGCAATTATTGCAGAGGAATATTTTCCTCTTGGTTGGAATTTGTGATGGAAAGTTCCTCCTTTGAAGTGAAAAAATTGGTAGTAGGAATCTCAAAAGTCATCAATTTATGATAAATTTGGATAAATCTTCAATATCGGTTCGAGATTTCAATATTTCAAAGCACACTTCCTTTATTGACCACTTCATTGGATTAAAATCTTTGTGGCGCCCAACGTTGCAACACAATTTTCATTGATACAATAGTCTAAATTAATGATTTTCGACACCCAACTCAACTCAATTTTAGAGTTTGGTCGACAAGTACTGAAGAGGGACATGTTTGTAGTAGGCGGAATTTTTAATAGAACACATTTTTCAATTGAAAAATGGGTTAAAAATTGGGAATATCCATTTAGAGTTCATTGGTGTAATATTTTAAAAGTGATTTCGGACTTTTCCTACCAACAAATATATGGCGCCCAACGTAACGAAAAGAAACAAGTTAAAAAACAGTAAGTTCGGTCGGGCCGAACTTTGAATACCATTGGAACGAATTTGAAAATTTTCAAAAAATTAAAAATATAAAAAATTCTGTTACAATTTTAAAAATACCGAATATAGCCGTTATATTGGGGTCTATACGACGTGGACCTACATAGGCATTGTTTGTCATAAGCCATTACCATATTCAAATTCGAAAACTTGAAATAAACGGTGAATAATGTAGCTAAAATCATCAAAATATCGTATATGGGGAGGTACCGTCATATCGGAGCTGTGCGAAGACCTGAACCAGCATAGACAATTTTCTGTCACAGGCTGTAGCATCCATTACGAACTTCAAATACGATGTCTCAAACAATTTTGGTGGGTTTTGTACCTAAACTGGTCAAAATATCGAATATAGGGAGATACTGATATATGGGGCCTATACGAAGACCTGGACCTGCATAGACAATTTTCTGTCACAGACTGTAGTTCCCATTACGAACTCTAAATACCAAATTTGAAACAATTCCGGTGAATAATGTCGCTAAAATCATCAAAATACCGAATATAGGGAGGTCCTGATATATGGGGACTATACGAAGGCCTGGACCTGCACAGACAATTTTCTATCAAAAGCTGTAATATCCATTATGAACTCGAAATGCCAAATTTGAAACAATTCCGGTGAATAATGTCGTTAAAATCATCAAAATACCGAATATCGGGAGGTACCGTTATATGGGGTCTATACGCCGATGTGGACCTGCAGAAATAATTTTCTGTCATAGGCTGTAGTATCCATTGCAAACTTTAAATACCAAATTTTGAAACAATTCCGGTGAATAATGTCGTTAAAATCATCAAAATACCGAATATCTGGAGGTACCGTTATATGGGGGCTATATGAAAACGTGGATCTACATGACCCATTTAAGAACTTAACCTGCCTACTGGAAAAATAAGCATGTGTGCAAAATTTTAGCCTTCTATCTCAATTCGTTCGAAACATAGCGTGATTACAACAGACAGACGGACATCGCCAAATCGGCATAGAATTTTACGTTGATCAAGAATATATATACTTTTTTGGGTCTGACATGAGTATTTCGAGGAGTTACAAACGGAATGATAAAGTTAATATACTCTCCATAGCATGGATTGCCTTTTAAGTGCGGAGTCAAAATATATATCTTCGTTGTGGAATATGAGCGCGATAATTGGCGCCCAACATTGAAATCCAATTTTAGGAGCTAACCAACAACTCTGGGTATCGATGGCCTCATATTTTTCAGAGAAAAGTGGACCAAATTATAAAAAGTCCATAGTTTTCATTCCATCTACAAGAATTTGAAGTAATACTTCTTTTCTGAACAGAATTTAGGATTCACATGTTAATGGCGCCCAACGATGGCATATCAAAAGGCAAAAAGGTCGTAGATTTATATTTGTTCTGGAATATCTAACAAGACTACTAAGCTCACAGAAGCGGAACATAGAAATCTTCATTTTTCTAGGCTTATGTACAACTATGAGTGGCGCCCAAGTAGAAAACTACATTATACAATTTAACTAAACGTAAATTGGCGGCCAACATTGACATGCGAATCCTCGCGTCATCCAAATTGTGGGAATTACTGAATTATTTTTTTACCCTCAGCCATACGGCTACAGAGGGTATATATCATTTGCTGTGGCCAAAACGTACCTCATTGAAATAACGGATTTATACCCTAGGTTTGGAAAAAATCTGTTTTAGGAATGGAGTCGATCTAGTGATCTCCGTATGTCTCTCCGATTAGACCAAACTTGGTACATCGTAATATTATTGTCAAACTTACATCGAGTTCGGCGATGGGCAATATCGGTCCACTCTTTCTAGTACCTCTCCCACAAAAGGTCGAAATTTAAAAAATATATATTTTTTTGCACAGAAAGAGAAAGGATATTCTGATTTTGCTCCAACTTTGCATATCCTAATATTTGCGTCAGTGCTAGGTCAGGTGTGAAAATGGACAATATCGGTCCACTCCATCAAGTACCTCCCCAAAAATGGTCAAAGTTTTGTTTTCACACATCCCAATATTTATATTAACCCAAGGTCTGGTGTTAAGATGGACAATGTCGGTCCACTCTTTCTAGTACCTCTCCCACAAAAGGACGAAATTTAAAAAATATATATTTTTTTGCACAGAAAGAGAAAGGATATTCCGATTTTGCTCCAACTTTGCATATCCTAATATTTGCGTCAGTGCTAGGTCAGGTGTGAAAATAGACAATATCGGTCCACTCCATCAAGTACCTCCCCCACAAATGGTCAACATTTTGAATAATTACAACTCTCATAAAATGCGATGTAAGAGCTCGATAGTCTTCAAATTTCACACATTATATCAACGCCAGGTCTGGTGTTAAGGTGGGCAAAATCGGTCCAATCCTTCTGGTACCTCCCCCACAAATGGTCGAAATTTGAAAAGAAAAAAAAATAGTTTTTCTGCACAGAAAGGGATGCAATAATCTTATTTTGCTCTAATTTTGTAAATCCTAATATTTGCGTCAGATCTAGGTCTCGTGCCAAAATGGATAATATTGGTCCACTCCGTCAAGTGCCTCTCCCGCAAAGGGTCAAATTTTTGAATAATTATAAGTCTTAAAAAAATATGATGTAAGAGTCCCATTTGTCTTCAAATTTCACATATCCTAATATTTTTATGAACCCAAAATCTGGTAGTTAGACGGAATAATAACAATATTTGTATCTGTTTTAGAAGAAGCATAAAAATGGAATACTTCGGTCGACTAAATCTGGTACCTCACGCACATGTTAACATTTTATAAAAATTATTACATATCTCATGCAAAGTGAAGGATCTTACCAATATAGTTCAAACCTGGCACGTTGCAATATTTATATCATATTTATTTAGGTCCGAAATGGACAATATTGGCCCATTCTTTCCAAACCCACTCCATAGAGGGTCAAGAGTTTGAAAATTCATAACAAAATATTTTAAAATAATGGTTTTTGATAGTATTGACATTTTTATACCCTACAACACTATGTGTTGGGGGTATTATAAGTTTGATTGGGCCAAAAATTATGTAACACCTCGAAATATTCGTTTCCCATGGATATTCGAAAGTATACTTGGATCTTCCTATCTCGCCGATACTGAGTCGATCTAGCTATGTATGTCCGTCTGTCCATGTTAATTTGTTATCACTCTACAGGTCGTAATTATGGCTCGATCTTCACGAAATTAAGAATGGAGGTGGGGATAGGGCCAGAATAGAAGCCTATTTCTTTTGGAGATGATCGCATAATATCTAGGGTTTGAAATGGATTAAAAACTGAAAAATTTCCTGATTTGACAGTTGCTTTACAGGTCGCAATTGTGGACCAAACGACGCGAAAATTAGCATGAGGCTAGGGCTAACTGCTGAGCAGTAGCCTTCCAATTTTGATGGTCATCGGATAATATTTAGTGGGTGAAATAGGCCATAACATTTGGGTTAAATAAATTTCTATTTTTCCATTAAACCACGAATATTTTTAATCCCAGAGAAATCACAAATAGACGAACAGGTCAATCCCGACCCATGCGTTAGATGCCGTTAGTAAATATATAGAATATATGTAGCGAAATATATACAATACATATATACAAAGGAAGGATGTTAGCTAAAATGCTTATATCTCAAGGCTAGGCCGATTTTGACAAATTTGGTCAATTCAGAATGCCCTCTTGGCATGAAAGACTAGAATCTGAAAAAATCGCATAAAAAGATCACAGTAATGATGTTAATATAGATTTAGTAGTATTTTGTGACATTTTTTTATTTTTTCATATTTTTTATCGCATGCGATTTTTTCAATTTGACTTATAATATTGAAGTGTACATTTCGTAATATTTTTTGGGTATGTTATATACAGATTGCAATTATCGTCTGATCCTCACGAAAATTTTCATAAGGGTAGGGTTAGGCTCAGGAGGGCAAGGCCTAAAGATGTACGCAATATATTTAGGGGTTGAAATGGACCAAAAATAGAAACTTTTTCCTGATCACACAATTCAAACCAATCAACACTGAATTTTGTGTGAGAATAAGGGTTAAGGACAGGGTAGAATTTTAGCATTTTGGATGACCATTGACTATTTAGCTGTAAAGTGGAGCACAACAACTAACAGCACGATGAAGTGCGTAAATATTGGACAAATGTCCCTAGCCAAAATGCTAAGGGTAATATCTGGGCAGTGCTCCGTGACATCATTTCAAAAGCAGAATCTTCCAAAATGGATTTAGACATAAAGGGGGTTCTAACAAATTGTAGTGTTGTAGGGTATCACATGGTCGGCCACTTTTCTTTATAAAAATTGAAAAGCAAATTTATTTCGAAAGCAAATGTGGATAAATAGTATGAGTCTATGCAAGTCAGAAGGTGAAATAATCTGCAAAACAATTCAATTTTTTCGGTTGAGAAAGAAAATTTGTGTCTCACGAAAGTTTTCACCATCCGACTTCCGCCCAAGTGAGATCGAAAAATCTGCCATAACAATTTTCCACTAATTGCCTCTATGATTGAAGATCTATTTTAGGATTATATGAAATTTCTACATAACATTTGGCATCGAGCATTTATTGTGTGCTGCGGCAGTGAGGGGTAAATATTCATTTGCAGTCCATTGAAAGTTTACACATCACTGACCGAAAGCCTACATATTTGATTTCTTGTAGGTTTGTAAATCCTTTCAATGCCGAAAACTACAGGGAGATATGTGAGTTTGTGAAATCTCTTTGGCAGCGACACCATGAATCCTATCGCTATACCAAGGTGATCAAATATGATTATACATATGTATATGTGTATGCTTGCAGTTGATGTGAATGTTATGTAGGCATGCTTTTGAGTGATGAAGCTTTGAATATGTGGCAAATTGGTGGGGTATTGATGGGCAATATCAAGTGACCGGGGGGAGGGGAAAGGGGGCTAATTCTGCTTTTTAAAGAACAAGTGGCACCAAAGATTATTTGGTTATGGTAGCCTAGGGTACCCTTCAATAACACTTTCAGCATCTCTATATCTTAGTCCTACATTAAGTTTTCTAGGGAGAAATTAGAAAGACATCTAAAGGGTGAGATGAAAAAACTGCAACCAAATTCATACCGCTGTCATTTCTAAGCCACCCGCCCGACAGCTGTTAAATTTATTCCGGTGACAGCTCATTATATTGTTTACAAGCGTACAAAAGCATTTTGGTGAGACTTTTCCAGAAAAAAAGTTATTTGCGATGGAATCCAAGCGTGAAAATGTGATTTGGCTGGAGAACCACAAGTGGCTATCGTTAGAGCCCTCCAGCATTTGAATGTGAATAAATCTTTTGTGTCTCGTACTATCGCTCGTTACCTGGTAGAGTAGCCCGACGTCAATGAAGTCAATGAAGAAAGAATGGAAGAAAACAGCAACATCAGCAGAAATGGTTCAAAAGGAAAGAAGCGACTTAATCGAAAACCGCGTCGCAGTGGCCGAATAATCGCTCGTGAGCTGAACATATCGCAATATTCCATTCGGCAAATATTGAAATACGAGCTCGGGGTAAAGCCATTGATATTCCAAAAAAGTGCAAGAACTTACAACGCAACGGGAAGAAAACAGACTCAAAAGAGCTAAAGAGTTGCTTCGCTCGGCCGAAAGTGGTGAATTTGGTTTCCTCCGTCTCTGATGAGAAAATATTCGTTGTCCAGCTGTTTGTAAACAAAAAAATGGTTGTGTTTACTTGCCAAAGAGGTCTGAAAAGGCTGAAAATGTGCACCTTCGGTTGGCCACCAGAACTCAAGCCTCAAGCCGGCCATGGTGATGGTGTGGGCCGCCATAACAGCCGATGGTCGCTCTCCGCTCGTATTAATCGACCATGGCATCAGAATAAATGCCGAATATTATCGCGAAAATATTCTGGAGGGTGTATTAAAGCCTTGGGTACGCAAAAATTTGGGCCAAAGAATGGGCCACCCAAGAATGGTAACGAAATGATTTTCCTCGCTTCATTTCCAGCGGATACCAATCCGTTGGACTATTGTGTCTAGGTTGGCCCTAAAAAAATACCAAAGTGTCGATAACTCCAAACAAGCGCTTCGCCGGGAATGGGCAAAAATACTGCAGAGCAACATTCGGGCCGCGTGTGACGGTTTAATTGGCCGTTTGAAGGCCATAATTCGTTGCAAAGGTGACCAATTCGAACAAATCTAAACTTATTCTAAAATTTGATGATATTTCCGACATTTTTTGCTTTTATTCAAAAAATTAAAAAAAAAAATAATAAAAATTATGGCATTTGAATTTGTTGCAGTTTTTTTATCTCACCCTGTAAGTGGGAGACTTAGAAAACCTGTTTGAGCATTTGATCGATAGATTCCTATAGATCTTCTGTGGATGGAAGCTAAATCGGAAGGTTATCGTAGTTTTAGGGCAATATATGACACTAGAGGATACCTAAAAAGGACATATTTCGAAATCTCATCCACCTCCTTTCTGAAGTGAAATTTTGAATTTTAGAGCATTCATGGAATGTATACTCCAAATTAATATGTACCAAATTCTCTGCTCGCTGCTTCAATATTCTCATTTTTCTCAACAAGATATTAATTTTTCTCCCTCTCTTCTTTCTCTCTCTTTTTCAGGATGATTTGAACAAGGAACAAATTGTTCGTAAGTATCAAAAAAAAAAAAAAAAAAAAAAAAAATAGGCCAACAAAAAATAAATGCAATAAAAATGTTACAAATTTAATTTAGCAAAATAAATGTTGTAACAAATTATGACAGAGATTAAATTGAAAAAATGGACAACAAAGTGGCCAACAAAAATTAGATAACTAATTGATGGTATAATTCGGCTAACCCCACACATAAAGGCGACAGGAGCGTGGATACATAAAGCTGACAGACTTTAAGAGGGAATTTTCCATTCTCCTCCTAAGTATAATATGGCATCTTGGGAAATCCATTGAAGTTACAGAGACCTGAGTCAGCTTCCATGCTAGCTAACGACTTATGGGGAAAATATTTAAAGCAATAATACAAACTACGAAATTGGGAAGTCATTGCTTAAACTTAATATTTTTTCCAAAAAAAAAAAAAATATGGCAAACCTCCTCGCCTCCACCGAATTAAGCCTACTGCGCCATTGCCAGCCAGCAGTTGGATACTTTCCATTTTTGTTTTGTTTTTTTTTTTTTTTTTTCAAAAAAAAAAAAACAAAATTCGCAACGATTTATAATCGCTTGACAGTAAGCGATTAATGTGAAATTAAGAGATTGCTTTAGAAAATAAGCAACCAAATACAGGAGGAACCTCAAAGAAATTTTGCTGGCCTCCGACAACTAAATGGTAGTTTCCACGTTCCCTCCATACCCCCTGTCTTCAACGCAAGCCAAAATATCCAAATGGTCCACTAGACACCCACACGTAACTACTGGCCGCCACATTACAGAGTGTTACCGTTGTGCTGCCTTACCCATCAGCCATGTTGATGGATAGACAAGCACAGCTGGATTAGTGGACAGCCAGCCACAAACTATGTTATCCAAACTGTTTGCAATCAACTATTTGCTGAGATAAGAAGGGGAAGAGGCGGAATTTTTAACAAGAGTAATAGCAATGTAAGAAAATATAAATAAAATAACAATTACCACACAGCTACTAAAATAGAAGGTAAAATGTGGTTGAAATCAAAACAGGAGTGGAATTTCAAGGAACTACGCATGACATGGACCACAAAATGGTTAAGTGATGTCTGGACATAATGAACGTTTTATGTTATGGATAAACTGTGGGGGTCGGCATGAGAAATCATTTTTTAGAATTAAAGGAAATAATATATGGCTTTTATAGGAGAAGACCTAAAATGATAAAAAAATCAAGTTAATGATTCCAATAGTCCTTGGAAAAATCTTAGGAGTTCATAAAATTCTGTAAAAAAAAAATCCTCGTTGATGGCCTAATAGCCCTTGGAAGAATAAAAAAAAAAACACGTTGATGGCTACAATAATCCTTGGAAAAAATTCTTAAAAATCCAAAAATTTGTTTAAAAAATCCACCTTGATGGCTTCAATAGTCCCTGGAAAAATCCAAAAAAAAAAAATCTTTAAAAAATCCAAGATCCTGGAAACAAATCCATAAAAATTCCGAACAATTATTCAAAATTCAATAGTCCTTGGAAAAAATCAAAAAATTCTTTAAAATTCCACGTTGATGCTTCCAATAGTACTTGGACAAAAATCCCTAAAATTCCAATTAATTCTTCAAAAAATCCACGTTGATGGCTTCAATAGCCCTTGGAAAAAACCCAAAAAAAAATCTTTAAAAAATCCAAGATCTTCGAAACAAATGCATAAAAATTCCTAATAATTATTCAAAAATCCACGTTGATGGCTCCAATAGCCCTTGGAAAAAATCAAAAAAATTCTTCAAAACATCAACGTTGATGGATCCAATAGTCCTTGGAAAAAATCCTTAAAAATCCAAAGAAAAAATCTAAAAAAAATCCACGTTGATGGCTTCAATAGTCCTTAAAAAGAAATCCTTAAAAATCCAAAAAAAAAATCTTAAAAAATCCACGTTGATAGCTTCTATAGTCCTTGGAAAAACATCAAAAAACTCTTTAAAAAATCCACGTTGATACTTCCAATAGTCCTTGGAAAAAATCCAATAAATTCTTCAAGGAATCAACGTTTATGGATCCAATAGTCCTTGGAAAGAAATCCTTACAAATCCCAAAAAAATCTAAAAAAGTCCACGTTGATGGCTTCAATAGTCCTTAAAAAGAAATCCTTAAAAATCCAAAAAAAAAATCTTAAAAAATCCACGTTGATAGATTCTATAGTCCTTGGAAATAATCAAAAAACTCTTTAACACGTTGATACTTCCAATAGTCTTTTGAAAAAAATCCAATAAATTCTTCAAAAAATCCACGTTAATAGTTCCAATAGTCCTTGGAAAAATGTCCTTAAAAATCCAAAAAATTCTTTAAAAAATCAACGTTGATGGCTCCAATAGTCCTTGGAAGTATAATCCTTAAAAATCCAAAAAAATCTTAAAAAATCCACGTTGATGGCTTCAATAGTCCTCGGAAAAATTCTTTAAAAAGTTCACTCTTAGTCCTTGCGAAATTTCTTTAAAAGAACCCCTCTTAGTCCTTTGAAAAGTTCTTTACAAACATCAGGTTTTGTTCTTGGAACAATTCTTTAAAAAAATTCACGTTTGTCGTCCTGATTGTCCTTGGAAAAAAATTCTTTAAAAAATCCACTTTTGTGGTCCTTATTGTCCTTGGAAAAAAAAAACTACAAAAAAATCCACGTTTGTGGTCCTGATTGTTCTTGAAAAAAAAAAATCTTAAAAAAATCCACGTTTGTGGTCCTGATTGTCCTTGGGAAAAATCTTAAAAAATTCACGTTTGTGGTTCTGATAGTTCTTGGTAAAAAATCTTTAAGAAATCCACGTTTGTGGTCCTGATTGTCCTTGGGAAAAATCTTAAAAAATTCACGTTTGTGGTTCTGATAGTTCTTGGTAAAAAATCTTTAAGAAATCCACGTTTGTGGCTCGGATATTCCTTGGGAAAAATTCTTTAAAAAATCCACGTTTGTGGCTCGGATAGTCCTAGGGAAAATTCTTTAAAAAATCCACGTTTGTTGCTCGGATAGTCCTTGGGAAAATTTCTTTAAAAAATCCACGATTGTGGCTCGGATAGTCCTTGGGAAAATTTCTTTAAAAAATCCACGTTTGTGGCTCGGATATTCCTTGGGAAAATTTCTTTAAAAAATCCACGATTGTGGCTCGGATAGTCCTTGGGAAAATTCTTTAAAAAATCCACGTTTGTTGCTCGGATAGTCCTTGGGAAAATTTCTTTAAAAAATCCACGATTGTGGCTCGGATAGTCCCTGGGAAAATTCTTTAAAAAATCCACGTTTGTTTGTCTTGATAGTCCTTGAAAAAATTCTTTAAAAAAATCACGTTCGTTGGTCCTGATAGTCCTTGGAAAAAAGTCTTTAAAAGATCGACGTTTGTGGCCCTGATAGTCCTTGGTAAAAATTCTTTAAAAAATCCACGTTTCTTGGTCCTTATGTGGAGAAAGTTCTTTAAAAATTCCAAGTTTGTGTCTTGGATAGTCCTTAGGGAAAAAAATCTTTAAAAATTCAAGTCATTTGGCTCCTTTGAAAAACCCCAAGAATCTTAAAAAAACCACGTTTGGGGCTCCGATAGTCCTTGGAAAAATCCTTGAAAACTGTCGAAAATTGACATTTGGAAAATACCTTCCTTTCCCTTTGCAGTCCATCGCAATCTATAAAACTCCATAATAAAATCTCCTTGGAATAAAATCTTTAAAAATTTGAATTTTTTGACCCCAATTAATGGCCTTTATAGTCCTTGGAAAAAAATCATTCAAAAATCCACGGTAGTCCATGAAAAGATCTTTAAAAAATCGACAACGTAGTCCTTGTAAAAATATTCTTCAATTTTCCACTTTGGTAGCCTCGGCACTCCTTAACAAAAACAGATAGTCCTTTCAAAATTTTGAAAAAAATTACGTTTATGACTCAAATAGTCCTTGGAAAAATCCTTAAAAAATCTTTTGTTTTCCGTAAATTAACATTTGGAACACTTCTTCCTTTTCCTTTACAGTCCTTCGCAATGCCTTCAACGCCTTCGATCCCGAAAAGAATGGTTACATCAATACCCAGATGGTGGGTACCATTCTCAGCATGTTGGGCCATCAGTTGGACGATGCCACATTAGCTGAAATTATTGCCGAAGTCGATGAGGATGGTTCGGGTCAAATTGAATTCGAGGAATTCACAACATTGGCCGCTCGGTTCCTGGTTGAGGAGGATGCGGAGGCAATGATGCAAGAACTCAAAGAGGCCTTCCGTTTGTACGACAAGGAGGGCAATGGCTACATTACGACCGGTGTGTTGCGTGAGATTCTGCGCGAATTGGATGACAAGCTGACCAATGAGGATTTGGACATGATGATTGAGGAAATCGATTCTGATGGTTCGGGTACCGTTGATTTTGATGGTAAGTTGGTGAAAGAGAACGGGAGAGGAGAGAGTATGGAAATAATTGTTTATTTTTGTTGCAGAATTCATGGAAGTCATGACTGGTGGTGATGATTAAATATTTATTTTCTTTTGTTGCAATTACGCCATTAGAGGAATACCGTTCGCATGTTTATCAAAATTTATTTAGTTACTATGCATCTACATATAAACAAACTTATAAGCTATAAGAAAACGAAAAACAAAAAATATTTTTCTTTTGTAAAACCAACAACAACAACAACAACAAGAGGAAGAAAACCAAGAACAACAACACACACTCAACATTTAATTTAATTATTAATAAATTTTAATTATTAAAATAAAACAAATACTAAAACAACAACAAAAACCAAAACAAGAACTCATTACAAAAACAACAACAACAAAAAGGAGGAATCGGATCACTCACTTCAAAATCAATCAGTTTGAAAGACACAAAAAGCGACCCTTCACTTGTTCGACAATACCTTGATACTTGCTGTGTGGGGGGGGGGGGGGGGGGTAGTACAACAAAACATACGGATTAGGAAGTAACATCAACACCCATTCACTCCAGCCAGGAGCAAATTACAGAACAATGCAAAACTCAAACTCAAACAATGCCCAAAAAACATAATTGTCATAATTATGTTATTATCTCATGTCCAACAAAACACCATTGACACATGTCAACTGTCAAAATCTGTTTAATTCTAAGACAAACAAATATTTGTTTTGCTTTCGTTTTCAATACCTCCATCTGTTTATTTTTTGTTCTGCCTTATTTGAATAATTTTTTGTATTTCTATTCGATTTTTCAAATTGATTGACTTTGAATATTGAAATTTCCGTATTTTATGTTTAATTGAATTAATTGCTCGCCATTGAAATTGAATTGTGGTATCGTTTTCAAAACAAGAAGGTTTTTAAGTCTAAGATCTTTAAGCCTTCTTGGAATAGAAGGTGGTTTTTTTATAACAAAAAAATATTGGAAATGTATTCATTAACGTTATTGATACAAATTCTAGTTAAGTGTAAAATAGGCAAAAAACAAAAAAAAAAAAAATTGAAAATAATTGGCTATGCGTCATTTGACATGCTGAGACAATTAATAGATATGTGAATAAAATAAAATCGTTGACAAACTAAGCCGGATACGAAGTGGAGACATAAATTGGAATTGTGTTTTATTTAAAGAATGGAAATAAAGGTGAGTTTCCATGATTGGAAATGAAATTATGGTTCAAAAATTTCGGCTATGTCGGTATTAAATAAAAGTGGCCGAAAAATGGCTCGTTAGCTGAACATATCGCAATATTCCATTCGGCAAATATTGAAAAATGAGCTCTAGGTAAAGCCATTGAAATTCCAAAAAGTGCAAGAACTTACACCGCAACAGGAAGAAAATACACTTAAAAGAGCTAAAGAGTTGCTTCGCTTGGCCGAAAGTGGTGAACTGCTGAATCCTCCTATGAGAAAACATTCGTTGTCCAGCAGTTTTTAAACAAACAAAATGATCGTGTTTATTTGCCAAAGAAGTCAGCTCGAAATGTGCACCTTCGGTTGGCCACAACAACTCAAGCGCCGGCCATGATGATTATGTGGGCCGCCATAACAGCCGATTGTCGCTTTCCGCTCGTATTTATCGACCGTGTCATCAGCATTTTTTACATATTTTTTTTTTGAAGTATCTAAATTTGGACTTAAAAATTTTCACCCGACTACCGGAGACTTTAACGTGAATATGTAAAGGGTAAATTTAAGAAAATTTTAAAATTGGAGATTCGTTTTGAAAACCCCCTTTAAAATATTCACATTAAGTCTCAGGTGGTCGGGTGAAAATTTCTTAAATCCATATTTAGATACTTCAGGAAAAATTGTGTAAAAATCTTTTTCAAAGCTCAGATAGTCCTGGATAATGATATTTAATAATCTATTTTTAATTCTCAGAGATCCCTCGGAAAAACTTCTTCCCATAATCTAGGTGGGTGTCTTCGATAGTCTTTGAAAAGAATTCTTTAAATATTTCACATTTGTGGCCCTGATAGTCCTTGAAAATAATTCTTTAAAAAATCCATGTTGAAGGATTTTTAGATGGTTCTCCGATTTTTTTCCGATTTTAATACTCCTGATAGTCCTTAGAAAAAAAATGCTTTAGAAAATTCACAATTATTTGCCCGATGCGACTTGAAAACAATTCTTTAGAAAATCCACGATTATTTATCTATTGGTTCCTTTAGTTTTTTTTTTCATTAATTTCCGTTGGTCCTTAAAAAATATTCTTCAAAAATCCACAATACCGGTCTTTTTATTTCTCTGTTGATCTTTGAACAAATTTTACATAAAAATCCACGACTATTAGTCCATTAGTCCTTGAAAAACAAAAATTCTTTAAAAAACCTACAATCCTAAAAACTATTCCTTTAAAATTCGCAATTTTTGGTCTGTCAGTCCTTGACAAACAGTCTTCAAAAAATCCTCAAAATATATCCTGTTCGTCCTAGCAAAAAAAAAAATATTCCTAAAAATCCTGATGGTCCTAGAAAAAATATGCTACGATATTTACGATTATTGGTCCTTGAAAACACGAAATTCAAGGTTATCGATCTCTATATCCTTGAAAAAAAATATCCTTAAAAATTCATAAATGTTGGTCTTCGAAGAAAAAAAAATAATTAAAATTCCGATTGTTGTCCTCTTGGTTTTTTAAAAGATATAGGCGCCATACACGTGGATCTTTAAAGGATTTTTTCTAAGGACTACAGAGTCATTAAATATTTTTTCCAAGGACTATCTGAGCCATCAAGAGGACAATCGCAATTACAAATGTGTCTTCCAAGGACTTTTGGAGCCAAAAATCCGTGAATGTTTTAGAGATTGTTTTCCAAGGACTATCAGAGACAAAAAAGGATTTTTATATCATTTATTCCGAAGACTATTGGAACCATAAATGTGGATGTTTAAAGAATTTATTCCAAGAACCATCCGGGAAATAATTGTGGATTTTTTAAACACATTTTTTCAAGGATAGTCGGTATCATAAACGTCGATTTTTGATATAATTTTTTTTCAAGGACTATCTAGCATCAACGCAGAGCCAACGCGGAGCCATAAACGTGGATTTTTTAAAGATTTTTTTTATAATTTTTCCAGGACTATAAACGCAGATTCTTCCAGAAGTTTTTCCAATGACTATATTGGCTTCTTATTTGGCTTTTTTAAAGAGTTTTTTCCAAGGACTATCAGAGCCTGAGATGCGAATATTAAAATTTTTTTTCCAAGAACCATCCGAGTTATAAAATTGGGTTCTTTTAAGAATTTTTCCAAGGACTATCGGAGGATTTAGGGATAGGATTGGATTTTTTACGAATATTTCCAAGGACTATTTTGACCTGTAACATGGATTTTTTAACTATTTTTTTCCAAGGACTATTACAGTCTGAGATGTGAATATTTTGAAGACTTTTTCCAGGGATTATCGGAGCCATAAACGTGGATTTTTTAGAAAATGTTTAAAAAATTTCTCCAAGCACAAATTAGTCATAGATTAAGAAGTTTTTAAACAATTTTTTGCAAAGTTTATTTTGGGGTTCTGACGTGGATTTTTTAAGGATTTTTTTCCTAGGACTATCGGAGCCATAAACGTGGATTTTTTAAAGAAATTCCAAGGACTTGATTTTTTTCAAGAACTATCGGAGCTATAAACGTGGATTTTTTAAAGAAATTTTTCCAAGGAGTAATTTTTTTTTTCAAGTACTATCGGAGCGATAAACGTGGATTTTTTAAAGAATTCTTTCCAAGGACTAATTTTTTTGCATGGGCTATCGGAGAGATAAACGTTAACGAATTTTATCTAAGGACTAAAGCACCAACAAACGTGAATTTCTTAAAGAAGGTTTTCCAAGGACTAAAGGACCAATTAATGGGAATTTCTTAAAGAAGTTTTTCCAAGGATTATAGAAGTTTTTAAATGAGTTTATCCAATGACTAATAAACGTGGATTTTTAAAGAAGTTTTTTCCAGGACTAAAGGACCAACAAATGTGGAGTTCTTAAAGAAGTTCTTTCGAGGACAAAAGGACCAAAAAACGTGGATTTCTTAAAGAAGATCTTCCAAGGATAAAAGGATTGACAAACGTGGATTTCTTAAAGAAGTTTTTCCAAGGACTAAAGGATCAAACAAACGTGGATTACTTAAAGAAGATGTTTCAAGGACTAAAGGACCAAACAAACGTGGGTTACTTAAGAAGATGTTTCAAGGACTAAAGGACCAACAAATGTGGATTTTTTAAAGAAGTTTTTCCAAGGACTAAAGTACCAACAAATGTGGAGTTTTAAAGAAGTTTTTCCAAGGAAAAAGGACCAACAAACGTGGATTTTTAAAGAAGTTTATCCAAGGACTAAAGGACTAGCAAACATGGATTTTTAAACAAAATTTCCCAAGGACTAAAGGATCAACAAACGTGGATTTCTTAAAGAAGTTTTTCCCAGGACTAAAGGACCAACAAACTTGGATTTCTTAAAGAAGTTTTTCCAAGTACTAATAAACGAGGTTTTCTTAAAGAAGTTTATCCAAGGACTAAAGGACCAACAAACGTGGATTTCTTAAAAAAGTTTCTTCCAGGAAAAAAATGGTTTCATTTAAGTTTTTTCCAAAGACTAAAGGTCCAACAAACGGGGTTTTCTTAAAGAAGTTTTCAAAAGGACTAAGAAAAGTGGACTTCTTAAAAAACTTTTTCTAAGTACTAAAGGACTAACAGAAGTGGACTTTTTAAATAAGTTTTTCTAAGGACTAAAAGATCAACAAACGTGGATTTATTAAAGAAACTTTTCCAAGGACTAAAAGAAGTTGTATAGACTTTTTTCCAAGAACTAAAGAAGCAACAAACGATGATTTTTTAAAGAATTTTTCCTTATGACTATGGGGGCTATAACCGTGGATTTTTTAAAGAAGTTTTTCCAAGGAATACCAATTAATTTTTAAAGATTTTTTCCCAAGGATTATCTATAGCATAAACCGGGATTTTTTAAAGATTTGTTTCCAACGATTATGTATGCCATAAGCGTGGATTTCGTAAGGAACTTTTTCCCAGAAATATCTATGGATTTTTCAAAAAATTTCCAAGGACTATCGGATCCAAAATCGAGGGGCTTTAAAGGTTTTTCCCAAGAATTATCAGAGCCATAAAGCAGATTTTTTTTGAATATGTTTTCCAAGGACTTTCGTTGCAATAGACGTGGATTTTTTAAAGATTTTTTTCCAAGGACTGTCGGAACTCCGAACGTGGATTTATTAAAGAATTTATTCAAAAGAATATCGAAGCCACAAATCTGGATTTTTTAAAGATCCTCTGAGTCACCAACGTGGATTTTTAAAGGATTTTTCCAGGGACTATCGGAGCCACCGACGT